GGGGATCCACTGTTTCTTCCGATGACTATGAAGGGGGGCACCAAGAACGTCGGCTGGTCGTTGCGCGGCGTCAGAGTGGACGGCATCTCCGAATACAATGTGGTCAACGTCGGGTGAGCTTTCTCTCCAGCTTCCTCTTCATCTTGTTGAAATGAAGAAATGTGTCCAGGAGTTGGGAATGCAAAGCTTGGTTGGTCACAAAACCATGACTTCGTCCAAGTGATCATTCATTCCCAAGTCTACACACCATATAGTAGGTAACTGTAATAAGAAACAGGCCACATTAAAATGCATATGCAATCGAACTCGCTTTGTGAAGCCACCAAGGCAGTAATAAATGCGAGTTGTTACAAATGGACGATGTATTTGATAAACTTTAATCGAGAGATTTGGCTGCATACGCCCGCAGCATGTTTGCATTATACCGAGCAGCGTATTTAATTCAACAACGAATTACACGTACTTTCATTCATTTCGTTTTCATTCAAAGTTCAGAGTTTTAATGACACGTAACTTATGCGTAGATTATTCAACAAGTGTCTCGTGTGTCTACTCCCCTTTACAATGCTATGCGCCTGGTGGATAGTCTCCATACAACCCTGAACCACCCGCATTGTTCGCACGTGACTGCTTTGCTAAGCATACGTCCATCATGGCATCGATATCGGTGAAGATCTTGGGCCCCGCAGCTGCCATCCATTCCCCGACCCTTGGCCTAATCCCGCGTCCCCTCCCCTCCGTCTCACCCACCCGTCGCGAGTCAGCCGTGTTGCCGGGACGGCGGTGTCACCTCAGACATGGCGCCGGGCCTCCTTGCCGTGATCTGGGTTTAAAAACGGCAAGGCGATGCGGGTCGTGTCTGGGCTCTTGCGCGCCGCCATATACTACTCGGGATTCTGGGTCATTCTCTGTCAAATTACAGTCTCCCACTGCTCCTCTGAGAGGTGCCGGGGGGCCGACGGAATGTTTATGGCGACGACGGCCGCAAAATACCTGGATTCGTTCCTGGAGGAGGGCCAAGCCAGCACGTAAATTGCCCTGAGATGACACCGAATAGCCAAGGCATCGGTCTTTGCATTGTAAGCTCCCTTGAGGGTCAGACAGATGCTCCCCCTCCCTCACTCTCCCCCTTCCCATGGAGGCGCTACAAAGCGAAGGAGGTGCAATACAAGTATTCACGGTGACCCATCTGAGAGTTCAGTTTAAAGTTCACTCCCAAGCACAACTGTAGGTCAACTACAATGCCACGTTGCCCCTCGTACTCCACTCCTCCCCCCCCCCCACCCCCCACCCCACCCCCAAATAAACATCTAATTGGAGAAGCGCCACCGCAGCCGACATTTGCGCGTGAGAAGTAAACAAGTTATCTGCAGCTGCATTCTTAGCTTATTTTATCGCGGTTTGTCTGGTGATTCACCGACGGAAAAGCGCATGCTGCCGCCAGTATGGTGAGCTTGCAAGCGTGTTTAATGACTCTTTCAATTTAATCTGGCCGGAGAATGTTCTGGTTGTGCACATGAAAGTCGAAATGTGTTGTAGATCAATGGTAATAGTTCGGATTCGCTCATTTTACGTCCATGCAGTTATATCTTTGCGATCGCTTTGGATGGCCACGAGATTGAAGGACTCAAACGAAATATCCAGATATTTGGCCTGACCTGTGAATTTACCCAGTTACCTAAGGTCAGCTTTTGGACATGTGCAGTGTCAAACACTTCAGGCATATCTTTACTGCTCACATCAGTCAGATCTATCCTTCACTTATGAGAGATTCCGGGAGGACCCTTAAAACGTCGCCTTCTTCCGTCTAAAGAAGTTTTGCAAATAGGCCAATCCATTCCTGTCCAAGACACGGGAGCAAAATGATAGCTGCCCACTGCACCTCGTCTCCAAACAAACACACAAACGGGAATATCGCCCGCCCCTTCAGCTACCTGGCCTCGCCCGATCGCTCCAGCGTGCTCTAACCGGTATTTTCCGGTAACGTGCCTCGAGGCTGCCCCCCCCCCCCCCCCCCCCCCCCCCCCCCCCCCCCCCCCCCCCCCCACCCCCCCCCCCCCCCCCCCCCCAGTCGTGAGCTCACATCTGTCTGGTCACGTACTGCACGATCTCGCGGCTCGGCCCCGGACTGACAGGCCGCAGGGGTCACGGCACCGAGCGGTGTGACCAGGTCCGGGCCGAAGCGTGCCGGGCGGGTCCGCCGAATATTCAGCGCCGGACACGCGACGTGTTTGACGCGTCCCAGAGGAGAGAATTTGGTGGAAAGTCAGTTCGCTGAGTTATGATGACGTCAGCGAAGGCTTCCTTGCGAAGTTTGTCTCTACTTTCAGTCACTCGTGAGGTAGTTTCGCGACAGAGTGGACCGCCCGCCAGTTGCAGTCAGTCAAACTGCACAAGGTCATCGTCAGTGACCACTTGACAACCAAGAGCATTGCAGCCTCCGAGTAAACATCACCTTGATCTGACTTGACCTTTCTTCTAAATTTCTCGTAATGTGATGGCATGGTTTGGTAACGCAGGAATACGCTGCTTCATTGCGTGTCAGCCGGTACGTTATAGGGCTGTTGTTGCAGATGTTTGAGAGCCCGAGCACGTTCCAAGATTACCATCTTAAATGCACTCTGCATGATTTCTGACGTCACCAATCAAGTGAAAGACATCAATTCAACGACTCCTGGGTTGTACGAACTAAGACTATGGATTGCTGTTTGAAGTTTGTTATCCAACGATCAGGTGTCGGGACGTCAGACGGTTACTTCTGCCACTCCCCAATCTACCTTTCACTCCACCACCACAAGGTGTTCGCGTCTGGCAAAGCACCCCAGCCAGTGGTTACTTACATCCCAATGTGTACACTTCAATGCTTCGCTTGCGGCGGTCAGTACTATTTCTCGGACTTGCATGACGCTTATCTTTTTTAGTGTTCATGTGTACGTCTTTAACCGTCTGTCCATGTACATTCATTTCGTGAACGTCGCAAGATATCGGCTAGCTTTAGCTCATTTTACTTGATTTTGTATGATATGATATTGATTTGGCTTCTTTGATGTGATTGAATTATCACTCCGTTACCAGTGAATCCGAGTTAAGCTCATGTTTTCTTATTTGCTCGGAGGGCGGTTAATTACCTGGCGGGATTATGGGTCTGAAAAGTTGGAGACCGCTTGCCACCCCGACTAGCTTCTTTAAACATACCTTTCATGACTTTGGGTTCCTAAGCAAGTGCGGTATTTTAATTTTATTAAGCCTTAGGCATACCCGAGCTCTCGAACGTGGAAATGTGTTCTGTGGAAAATCGTTCAGAATGTTTTGACGTCCTGTGACGGGATACTTGATGGTCTTATGAACATATCTGAGGCAGTGGGTTGCCATGGAAGCTTTATACAATCTGAACACCGCGCAACTCGTTGACTAAGTCGCTGAACTATTTCCTTATCCCGAAGTGCACGACAGCGCTTCTTAACACGCGCCCGGGTGGCCGGTTGGTTACCCTTCGCTCGGGTAGGGGATCAATTTGACCCCTCTGAGATCTCAGGAACTAAGAGAGATGGGGACACCAAATTCACAGGGTATAAAGCAAAAAAGTTTGAGATTCCTAAGCCATGACCTTCGGGTTTAATAAGGTTAAACAAGGCCAAATTCCAGGTTGGTCTCTAAAGGGTCCCTAGAAACTAGACGACTGCTCCAACCAAAACGACACACTCACTTGAGGTCAGTACCTTGTTTGACCCTTTTGAAGGTCATGGCGACCAAAATCATACAAGACTGCTTTGAGTTTTGCACTTGAATAAGCTACAAAGACAACGCTAGGCAGTATGTTCCCAAAAACAAAATGTTGACCTGTGTCATTTCAGATCAATGAACTATACTGACCTTTTAAAAGTTCATGGAAGGTGTATAACGCGGTCCCTGTTATCAATAATTCGAAATGGGTACCAGAAGCTACCTCATACAGCAAGCCGTAAAGTAATAACACAGGTTAGTTTTGACCTTGGTCTGACCTTCATATCTGACCCTAGGTCAATGTAATTTTTTTCATTCAATTGTGTGTTGCCTAACAAAGTATCTCAGGGATGCATGACTTTGTCTAACACTCATTTGTTGGATAAGATTGAGCGATTTCCTAAAAATTGCCTTCGCTGAAACCATTGCCTGACTAGCCTGCCATAGGTCAGTGACCTTACAAGGACTTCTCAATTTTTGATGCCAGACGATCCGCTATTCAATTTTCTACAGCTATGCAAAATTTGGCGCGGTGTAACCGCGCCGTTCGGAAACCGTTTCGGAAAACCTTGAGGGGGTCAATTTGACCTTTGATCCGGCGCGTGTTAAGGCCTGTCGTAAACGACAACACGATTCTCTTTAACCCCGAAGCCTGTGCAAAAGTTTAAGGCTGTTGATACGATGGGAACGGCAGTGCGAGACATGAAGACAACCTTGATGCTAATGATGTAATCGTTTGATCCGGCCTATTACACGAAAATTGCACGCCTTGTAACCAAACCAATTATTCCGACGAAATAGTGGGCGTGGAGGCGAAGCGCTCGGATGCGGCGAAATTTAAGAGGTACAGGCATCGACCTACCATACCTGATGCACCGTTAATAGCCTCCTAATCTCCTCTATATCAGGTCCGGGGTTTTTCAAGAATGTGGCAACAATTGCATGCGCTGATGATTTCCGTCATGTCAAGCTCACCCAACCTTAAATAGAATTAACTTTATTTTGAATTATTTGAAGAAAGTGACTCTATTTCTCGCCACGAAATCCATTGAAAGTTAGAGGCCATGGCGTAGCAAGGCGTGAAGAAAATGCGGGTTTTCATCAGTCAGGGTACCCCACATATAACAGAAATCCCTGTGTGAAGGTCAGTTCAGATACTTGGCGCCAGAAGTCTTCAACTTCATTTCTCGAAAAGACGAAAATATTTTCCTTTAACAAAACAGCGTGGTCATGTGTTTACCATACAGATTATGTTTTGTATGACAAAGGGCACCCGTTTATGAAAATACACAGGTTTTTTGCATCATAATGGAGATGGTACAAATTGCCACAAGGAATTTTACCTCCCCACAAGAGCACCATCTTTTTTCGCCGGTGTCACTTTAAGTGACCCGTTGTCCATTGGCGAACTGGCGCGTTATTTTCTAAGCTGGTAATGCATGACTTACGGTAGGTCGCTTTAATATAGATGGTGCTCCAATTACGTCGTGTTTTTTTTCACGAAATTGGAGGACGGAAAGGGTTCCCGAATATGGAGGCTGCAAGGCGCGTTCACATTTCGTCGGTACCGAAAGTGGTGTCTGATAAGTGGTCCGACACCTCAGGAGACCCATTTTCGAAAACAGTGTTACATTCACGTGTCTATTTCCGCTGCATGCCGCAAAGACGTCCTTTTAAGGCGGATCGGCTGATCGCACACCACCGATGTCATTCGATATTTCCACCCTCTGTTTCCGTTTTTGGGAGAAATCTCGCACCGTTCCCTTTAAACATCGCAGGAACGCATCTAGGGAAGGAGCGCCAACCTTTAACCATGTTTTCTTTTGTGATCCCCGTGTGTTCCCCGTCTATGCGTGGTGAGTGCCCATTACTCCATCACGAGTTCTGCTGAAGGCCACTGAAGCGTCATGCTAAGGAAGGGGAGGCTCCCTAGCGAGATAAGCTCATGGTGCCTGTTTCCATCCCCTTTCCCCCATCCCTGGGTATTTTTCTGTATATCCGCCCCTCTTGTGCTAGTGTACGGGTGGAATAGACGCCAATATGTTTTTTTTGGCAGCGAGCTTGTATCTTTAACATGATGTAGATGCTGGCGCCACTACAGGTTCAAGGGAAAACAATGTGATTTCCCTACGCCTGTCGTCGCTGGTTCGCCACATCCCCATACCAATCAAAATGATGTTTGGCGCGGGCACAGGACCTGCTCGCTTCAATGAGCCCGTTCCATCTGAACGTATTGCGAGCTAAATGTTGGCAGAAATAAAGACCAGATCCCCTCGTCGAATTTCTGCGATTCCAAACAGGGTAAGACGTGTTGGCGTTACGTAAAACGTGGCTAGTGTTGCTCGTTACTGTAAGATCAAGGATGGGTTAGCCGAGTCCAAGCGCTATATTTGCGCCTAACCTAACTCATCGCCCACAGCGCCACAGCCGCCGACGCCCGTGAGCGGAAGCCACTGAAAGTAGTGAGTGAATGGACGACCAAGAGATGGCGTGTGGAGGTCAACGCTACGTACAGTTTGGCCCTCTTGACTGATGCTGTTTACGTCACACTGCTCGCCCGAATAAAGCTCGAAATACGTGAGTATCCATGTTTTCAAGCGCTGATGCCTATGAGCGCCAGCGTCACATCATTTCATGAATTGTTCCATAATTATTATTTACGCCTTTGCGGCTAGGAATGTGCTTGACTCCTCTAAATCTTAGGTGACTTCGAGTATTTAAGAAACTCAGTGTATGGGCTGATAGTATCTGAAAATCGCGGTCATCACTGATCCTGACCCCAGAACTTCAGTCAGGAATAATATTTGCTTATCATGCAGATCACAGCGTCGACCAGGTCGCATTTCGTGGGCCGGCTTGTGACAGGACTGGCAGTTCAACCAACTAAAACTAACTTCTGACGCTTTCTGGTTGTTACCGTTCTTATCGATTCAAACCAGCATACTTGGCAAAAGGTCAGACAGCCGTGATATTCCTTTCATATACATGATGTATGTGGTGCATCACCCATAATTGGCGCTCGAAGTAGCATTTAAACTGCTGCTTTACATCATGTCAAGCTCTGCGTTCGCCATTGCTTTCGATGTCTTTTGTTCGTTTTTTGGTTTTTCTGATAGAACCAGCTGTGACATGTTACCACTAAGATGAATGGATGCATTACTCAGCAAGCGATACACGCACGCACGCATGCGTGCACGAATGCACGCAAACACACACACACACACACGCACGCATGCATGCATGCATGCACGCACGCACGCACGCACGCACGCACGCACGCACGCACGCACGCACGCACACACACACATTATATATATATATATATATATATATATATATATATATATATATATATATATATATATATATATATAATGCATGGTCAACGCAAAAACCTCAAATCAAAAACCGTTGACCTCCAGGGTCCCCGAAGCATCACTCTAAGCTTTCTTCCTTTTTCACCGTTTGTTTACGATTCTCTGTGCGTCATTGAATTATTTTTTTTTGAATTTTTCATGATTTATTTACGATCCCTCGTGCGTCATTAAGTCCGGCTGCCTTCTGCATGCCGTTGATGTGAAGCTTTTCCACAAAATGACCTCCCCAGCTGACGGCCTGCTGCTGCAGAATGTATCGATCGACTGGCAGCGTGGTTGGTTAGGTGGTGGCTGACCCTCAACACTGTAAAATGTAAGACGTTCACGATCACCTTCAGGCGTGCTCCCGTCCAGACCAAGTATTCAAGCGATAGAATTGAGCTTGAAAATGCGTGTATATTTTATGAAAGATTTGTTTAGATTGGATTAAATGGATTACGTAGATAACGATTACGACTAGACAGATTACGTAGATTACGTAGATGCAGATGTAGATAGATTAGATTAAAATTAGCGTAACGCTGGATACAAAAGTACCCTTTGCTTGTCATGTCTTTGACATTGTCAGTTGGGGCCATCGAGCACTTGGTCTCCTTACTCGGTCTTTCCATGTCGGTACCAGCAGGTCAAAATTCAGCCAAAATGCAGCGATGGCTGCGTATTTCGCAAACATGCGATCGGCTAAAAAATATCGTAGCCTGGTCTGGACGGAGCGGCCACTTCTCACGCAGTGTGGGTCGATTGAGTGCAGCACAAGTTTCTTGCTTGGTTACCTTCTCAACCATTCTTCATGCCTCGTCATCCGCAGCCATCCAATGCCGTCATCCGCAGTTATCTCATGCCGCCATCAGCAGTGATCCGTGCCGTCATCCGTAGTAATCCCGTGACGTCATTTGCAATCATCCCATGCCGTCTTCCGCAGTCATCTCATGCCGTCATCCGCGGTCAGCCCGTGCCGTCATTAGCAGTCATCCCGTGTCGTCATCCGCAGACATCCCATGACGTCATCTGCAGTCATCCCGTGACGTCATCCGCAGTCATCCCGTGACGTCATCAGCAACAATTCGTGTCGTCACCCACACATCCATCCTTCAGTCAACGGTTTTTTGCCCATTGAAGCAGTTCAGAATACTCGGCAAACGTTGCAGTTGTGTTACGCGTAAACATCTGAATAAGCTACTCAAAGGGTTTGATATGGGATGTAGACCATCTTTACACATATTTGTAGACTGGCTTTTATTGCCCATCTCTGCAGCGTACCACAAACGCTCCCCTGCACGACTCTACCTCGGCAGTGAGCGACAGTGGCACGCCGCAGTCCGGTGGCCCTAAAGGTGTAGTGTGAGTTGTTTGTTGCGTTTGTGTCATGATAAAAGTGGATTTAGAGCTCCTGATGGCCTAAAAATGAAGGTGAGAGTGTTATGGTGGAGAGAAGATGCTGAATACAATATCAGGGCCTCAAAATAGCGTAAATCGGCCTTACGTAAAATATTCAGCTGAGGTCATCTGATTGAGCAGCCTCGTTGGACCTTGGATAGGTCTCGCGGTCAGTGAAAAAGCCGAGCGATCCGTTTTTAGGTGCTGTGGTTCCAACTTGCCTCTTAAGTGTATTTCTGTCATCCAAAGGTAAAACCCTGCATGTTAATTTTTAGCCATGTTGCGTTTTTTCATGTCATCTGATTTTCTACTCATGCTGAGTTCGGCTATTCAAACAGATAGTTGAAATTTCTCAAGCTTTTAGCACTTTCTTTTAGCTAAAGGTCTCTGAAAATTTCAACAATTTGTTTAAGCATCCGAATTCAGCATGACAAGACAAACCAGATGACATAAAAACGCACAATGGGTAGAGATGAACGTATAGGGTTTTACCTTGGGACTGTGGGTTTGCTTTCCTGTGCATTTGCGACATTTGCGCTCGACTACCGCCAGCCTGTCAGGTCTGGTCAGGTGAGGTCAGGTTAGGTCGTCACCTCAAGTCAGCTTGAAACTGTGTGGTGACGCAATGAGTGTCACTAGCATTGTGCGAACTAAATCGTAACTAAGTGGCTCGACCAATGCACGCATAGGCAAGATAATAACAGTGAACAAGTCATGGGCATATTTGTGCTGCAGCATGACTATACATGAACAGCTACAGTTATTCCGCGATTTCTTTCACGCACTTCATCAAAAACAAAATCGTGCACGTTAAAAACACGTCATGCGGCGGCAAGCAAGCAGTGCTACTGACGGGACCGTCTATATCGTCCAGTCTGGTGGGCAGCGCCTCGCGGGTGCCAGAGGCGGTAATGGTCGGCGGCAGGCGGCTCCAGGATGACGTCGCGTGATACGAAATGATGAGGTATTGAAATTTAGCGATGCCGGAAAGTGCACGAACGAAGCCTGCATGCCTGATAGTATGCATGTCGAATGCCTTGCTAATGAAAGAGCCCGAGGCTACAGAAACTAATCAGTGAATACGTAATCTAAGTAGATCAATGCAACTATAACTTTTCGGGAGTCTGGGCAACGCAGGAGGTCCTTTGAGACAATGTAGAAAAATATCCTGGTAACTCCCGTTTCTGGAGCGTCCTAGTTCTCAGAAATCAGTTCTGCGTTATTCCCGGCCGCAAGGTTGAAAGTGTAAGAATGCTGGCATGCGTAATTGGTTCTGGAATCCTTATTAACCAAGAGAATCATTTTTTAGGCGGAGAAGCCTAAGGGAACAACAGAGGCCTCTCCATTCTCCCCGCCGAAGGGGCGCCAACCCAGCAAGGTCATGGTCGGGGTCACTGAGCCCGCCCGGTGTGCTGCCGCCTTGGAAAAGGCGACGCGAGCATGTGGTTTCAAGGCAAAACTTTCCTCGCCGCTCAAAGGCGTGCTGCTTCATATGCGAACTCGAGGCCTTCATGGGAAATCGCACAAAACAAACTGCATTAGCGTACCCGTATATTTCAGAATAATGGAATCGAAATGATGACATTCCAGCGTCAGTTATCACATGATGAAATCCTCGCGTCAGCTGTCACATGATGACATCCTCGCGTCAGCTATCACATTTCTTGGCCCACACCACAAACTGTCTGTGCCTGGCCGCTTGATTTCTACTGGTTCCGGACTTCACCATCAACAAAGCCGATGACATTTTTTCAACTCTACCTGTGAGGTCATTTCACTACGCTGACATTTCTCCAAACGGCCAGGAATGTCCCATAAGAATCTGCTTATGTCCATGCCGATCGATGTCTTTTAAAACACTCAGCTTAGAACTCCAGCAAGACTAAATCAAGATCTATGGGACCTGCGCACAAATACGCACTGCGTAAGGCCCTGTTTTTTGTAAGGCTCTGTTTTGTGACCCGCTTATCGCAAAGCGAAAATGCACGAAGAGAAAATGCTTACAATACCACTAAATAACTGTGTACACCATTTAATGTGATGCCCATGGTGCATCCTATCTCAAAATGATGTGTGTTTTAGAGCACACGTTGTGACCAACACATTCGGGAAACGGGCACACCTCCGTAAATGTCGATTCGCGTCTGGTACACCTGGTCAACGGGGCAGACTTTCCGGGCGTAGCGCACTGATGCTCGTGTCTTATTGTACTGAGAGTTCAGCTTGCAGCCACACTTATCATCCCCATGCACTGGGTCCGCCGACGGTGCGCGGCGGGCTGAAGCGTCAGACCAGGCTGAATGTGCAGGGTGCACTAAACAGGGCCATCCGAGATTGACTGTTTAAGCCAGGCTGAATGTGCAGGGTGCACTAAACAGGGCTATCCGAGATTGACTGTTTTAAACCAGGCTGAATGTGCAAGGTGCACTAAACAGGACCATCCGAGATTGACTGTTTAAGCCAGGCTGAATGTGCAGGGTGCACTGAACAGGGCTATCCGAGAGTGACTGTTTAAGCCAGGCTGAATGTACAGGGTGCGCTAAACAGGGCCATCCGAGATTGACTGTTTAAGCCAGGCTGAATGTGCAGGGTGCACTAAACAGGGCCATCCCAGATTGACTGTTTAAACCAGGCTGAATGTACGGGGTGCACCAAACAGGGACATCCGAGATTGACTGTTTAAACCGGGCTGAATGTGCAGGGTGCGCTAAACAGGGCCATCCGAGATTGACTGTTTAAACCAGGCTGAATGTGCAGGGTGCACTAAACAGGACTATCCGAAATTGACTGCTTAAACCGGCTGAATGTGCGGGGTGCGCTAAACAGGGCCATCCGAGATTGACTGCTTAAACCAGGCTGAATGTGCAGGGTGCACTAAACAGGGCCATCCCAGATTGACTGTTTAAGCCAGGCTGAATGTGTAGGGTGCACTTAACAGGGCCATCCGAGATTGACTGTTTAAACCAGGCTGAATGTGCAGGGTGCGGTAAACAGGGCCATCCGAGATTGACTGTTTAAACCAGGCTGAATGTGCAGGGTGCGCTAAACAGGGCCTTCCGAGATTGACTGTTTAAACCAGGCTGAATGTGCAGGGTGCGCTAAACAGGGCCATCCGAGATTGACTGTTTAAGCCAGGCTGAATGTACATGGTGCACTGAACAGGGCCATCCGAGATTGACTGTTTAAGCCAGGCTGAATGTGCAGGGTGCACTAAACAGGGCCATCCGAGATTGACTGCTTAAACCGGCTGAATGTGCGGGGTGCACTAAACAGGGCCATCCGAGATTGACTGTTTATACCAGGCTGAATGTGCGGGGTGCACTGAACAGGGCTATCCGAGAGTGACTGTTTAAACCAGGCTGAATGTGCAGGGTGCACTAAACAGGGCCATCCGAGATTGACTGTTTAAGCCAGGCTGAATGTGCAGGGTGCACTTAACAGGGCCATCCGAGATTGACTGTTTAAACCAGGCTGAATGTGCAGGGTGCGCTAAACAGGGCCATCCGAGGTTTGACTGCTTAACCCGGCTGAATGTGCGGGGTGTACTAAACAGGGCCATCCGAGATTGACTGTTTAAACCAGACGACGAAGCCCTGTTTAAGAGCAAGGTTTGCTTTAGAATAGCGCTGCACAATGCTGCTCCCATGGACTGTTCTAAGGCTGCAGCTTTATATTTGCAATTAGCACCTTTGCCGCTATCATCATAGGGACCTGCACTGGCATTCATAATGTTATAAACTTACTCACCATTCCATCCGGCATTTCACATGGATTCGACATATGCCCATGATCATGAAAACAAACGTTTACACATGCAGCCACCACGCCATTAGCACTGTCTTAACAGGAGAAAACCGTGGCCAGCGAAAGTTTCCCGCGGCGAGAATCGAACACACACCTGATCCAGAAATAATCGCCTCTCCACTCGGCCACTAGCGGACGTGCGGATGAAGTTCAGCGCCTTCGTCTGGGGCGAAGAGCAGCCCGATCCGGCCATCGTCCGCTTCTTCACCGAAGACAAGCTCTTCAACCTCGAGTTCAAGCCGGACGACATGAAAATAGGGGTCGACATCGCCTCTCTGCCCTCAATAGCTTCCAGTGAGTGACGCGTTTCATTATCGAGCTGTAGCCATGGCTAGTATGAAGTAGAGAAGCCATGTATATTATTTGAGCACTTAACGTGCGGTCTACTCAATCGACGCGCTTTCCGCGTCATTCGGGCTTGTCGAGGCAATCCGTTGTTGAGGCTGTATGACGTTGCCTGCTCCTCACCCTGACAAGAAAGGTGGGCGCTGCGGGGAATCAAACCTTGCATCCCTGATTCACCAGAAGCGTAGCTGAACCGCTGCACTACCCAAATTTTCAAATTTTGGGCCCAAATCTGCTTTTCGCAAATTCCCGTTTTTGGCTGTTCAGGGGCGTTTTTATTCATGCATCGATGAAAAGCGTAAACGCTTGCACATGTATTAGCATGAACCTCAATTTTAAGCACAAAAATATGGCTGCAAGTGGATTGAGGCTTCAGTAAAAAAAAGTTCGTTTTCTTCAAAGGCAGGGCCATCTCATTGCCGGACAGCGCGGAAGGCCTCCGGCTGCACAGGCGTTCCATCCGTGCTTTCCACAGGCTTTCCATCCAGTCGGCACTGATGGATACCGCCACCTCGTTGACAAACAACGTAAAAGCAGTTCTTATTCCAGCTCCCGCCTTGAACGAGCTAGTCGAGCTGCACGTCCGGTACAGGGCCCTGCCGGTAATGTGGCCAGCCATCAAGCAGGAGGTGGGAAAGGTTTTCCAGGACATCACGAACGGGTGAGTTGCATTAATTCCTATGCACGGAAGCACGTTTTGTTTGAATGCATGAGCCGAAACTCGCAAACTGCAGACTAATTCTAAGTTGCACCTGGCGGCATAGCACGACATAGTACTGTGCCGCTGCCTATAGTACTTGACGCCTGTAGTCTTCGGCTCGCCACAGCGTCTCTTCATGAGGCAGAAATTACTGTTCATGCATATGGTTTTCTCCTCTTTTTGTCTCTCTCAAAGCCACCATGATCCATAAGCTACAAGGTAATTGACTATTAGCCGAGAAGCACAACGACCCTGATCTGATCTCTTTCGCTGGGAGTCCCCGCTCCGGTCCGGGTGGCTGATCCTTCCAGCAGCTCCTTCGGTCTGATCCCCGGGCTGTGTATGCCCCCGCCTCTGGCTACTCCAGTCTCTGTGGGCTGTCCAGTCGTGGCGAAAGGCGATTGGCGATTTTACGTAAAGTAGGGCATCAAACAGACATGATTCATGTCTGTCCTTTAACAGAGCGTATAGGACCTTCAATCATTGTATTAACGACATATGAGTCAAACGCTTCGGTCTACACGTTTCGGTATGCTCATTTTGTGTCGCTTGTGGCTGTGTTGCAAAACAATCCCGACTGAGACCCTGAAATGGTCAGTCATCTTTCTTCAACAACAGCATTTCCTCGTTTTTCGGACGGCAGCTGCTCAGCCTTCCGAATGGTTTTCTCACACCGACACGCTTTCCCGGTGTGTACGAGGCGCCACCTATTCGCACCATGCTCGTCATTACCGCCGCCAAGCACGTGACAGGCTCATTCATCGGCACCATCGCGCCAGAAACCACCCTCGCGCTCATTCCCGCCGCCGTCCCCAGGGAGGTGATCCGAGTGATCATTCGCTTCCTGCTGCTCCGCCGCGGTAACAGTCCCCCGGCAACGCCGAAGCCGGCGGTCTCGACGCCCGCAGCCGCCGCGGCCAAGACAAAGCCCTCCAGGATATCGGAGAGCATCACTGGCCAGCCTGACAAGAAGGGCACCGCCTAGGTCGGCGAACGGCGTGACACAAATCTCCCCCACTAACGTTTCGATCATGCGGTCCGTTCAGTGGTCACCTCAAGGATGGGTCAATCACGGTGCGGGCTCCACCGTTAAACTCCCTCTTTGAAGGGTGCCAGGGGTGTTCCGGGGGTGCTCCAGGTGCAGACCGGAGAGTTCCACCGGAGTGGCAGGCGTCGTTTTAGTGCTTTGAAGTCAACCCCAAATATCCGTTTTGCATGCAAGTTGTCACGCCTGTTTGGTAGCTCTGCACGGCCATAATGAAGTCTGCCATTGCATTCATCGCGGGAGCCGATCAACCAGCCTTGTTTAATACACCATCGAATGAGCGATGCCTTGTCTTCACACGGAAGCCTCATCACTAAGTTTGCTGTGGTAGTTTTCTTGGGCAGTTCAGTTTGATTTGCTAGATACCCCACGTACACGCACATAAAAC